GCAGCGAGCGGGCGGGCGGGCTGCGAAGCGGGCAGCGGGGCGAGCGGGCTGCGAAGTGGGCGGGCCGCGAAGCGGGCAGCGAGCGAGCGGGCTGCGAAGCGGGCGGGCCGCGAAGCGGGCAGCGAGCGGGCGGCTCGGCGGGCGGGCGACACTGCAAGGGGCGCGCGAGGGCGCTAGTGAGGGGCGCGCGAGGGCGCTAGCAAGGGGCGCGCGAGGGCGCTAACGAGGGGCGCGCGAGGGCGCTAACGAGGGTGCGCGCGAGGGCGCTAACGAGGGGCGCGCGAGGGCGCTAACGAGGGCGCACGAGGGCGCTACGAGGCTAGGGCACGGGGTAGCGTGGTAACCGCATGCGAGCGGTGGTGGGCCCTTAAAAAAAAAAACGGTCGGTAGGTCCTAGGGACCTCCTGCTCTGAATACCATGTTAAGAGAACTAGGCAAGAATGGATGAACTAGCAGAAGTTTTGGGTACAAATATGAAACCCTAGTTGGGGTTGTACCCCATATTGGCTACCCCACTACAGCCTACAAGCATAATACAGTTTAACAAGCCGTGCACACCTGCGAAGCAGGTGCACCGTTGTCCTGCGGGCGCAACGCTGTCCAGCCGACCTGCTACAGCGTTGGCACGCCGCAGACTTGCAACGTTGGCGCACCGCATCCCTGCAGCGTTGGAGCGGTGCGAGCATTGCTGCGCTGGAACGCGGTCGACCGTGCTGCGCTGGAGGTCGACCAGCAGCCTAGCTAGCTCTGATGTAGTCTATTGAGCCAACGTTGTTGCAATCATTGTTGTCAATCTTTGCTAGTGAAACTCTTGCAAAATCTCCCCGTGAATGTGCAAGCAGAAACCACACGAGCAAACGACCAAGTGAACGAACGAACGCAGAGATCACTCACACACATGTGAATTCCCCGCAGTCAAGCTCCCGTTGCTAGAGTTATCTCCGCAAGGGGGCAGGAGAGAGGGAAGGGCGCAGGAGAGAGGGAAGGGGGCGGGAGAGAGGGAAGGGGGCTACTGAAAGAAAGCGCATCGACTCAAACTCGAACGTTCCTTTTGTCTACCCCTGCGCCGAGTGCACGTGGTACCTATCAAAGGCTTTCACGTGCTCGGCGGGCGAGGGGAGGAAGAAAAGGCGAAAAGGAGCTCGCCAAGGAAGGTGCGCAGAGAGTCGACCGCCAAGGGAACAGCGGTTGGATCGAAAGTGAAACAGGGCTACGGCGCGACTGAGGAGGGAGAGCGCCGTAGCTAAGAAGAGAGATAGGGAGTCTTGTAGCGGAAGAGAAGAAAGCTAGGAAGCCTAGCTCCAAGGGAGTAGACGAGATAATAATTCTTAGATTAGACTAGAAGAAGATCCAAGGATGAGATACAAGAATCAGGAAGAGATATTTATCCTAGGAGAAGAGAGGCGCGACTCGGATAGGAAGACCGTGTCGCTACTCAATCTAGCATAGAATCTCGACATCACGCCTTGATGCTATGCACTACTGTACTAATCATTCTGACAGGGATAAGGGGAAAGGTCCGAGGCTAGCAACTGGCGATGTTCGGAGCTAGCAAGAGAATACTACCTTCCCCTTTCGGAGATTCTCATGCATGCTCGCATGGCGAATCCTATCTTGTTACATAATTCCCCTCCCTAAGAAGCATCGTCCCGATACTTACCCCAAGCTAACTAATCAAAGGTCTAAACCAGAGAATGCAACAAGAAGGTATGTACAAGAACAGCAATTCTTTATTCTTGGTCTTCTCTTGGTCTTCATGGTTCTTCAAGCTTCAGAGAAGGTTTGGAGTAGAATCCAGGGAGAAGGTTGGCATGCAACTGCATTCCATACTACAGCTCTTGTGGCCATATGCAGCTTCCAATCATTGGGTGGTGTTCTCCCAAATATCCTTCCGTGTGAACAGTCTCAACCAAGCCCATGCTTTCATAGCTATGGCGCTTCTTACTGCACACATACCCCATACCAAGCTGCCTCAAGGCTGATGCCTCTAGCACGTCCAGCAATACCACCAAGCATGCCTAGAAGAGATTCAGAAAGTAAGAGGTAAAAGCTACCACCTATCCAAGCAAGCCTTGCGGATTCAGTAGATAGTGAAATAAGGTGCTTCAGCTCTTTATATGTGACAGAGCGTTGGACTAGGAGCAGGAATGCCTCTAGAATCAGAAAAGAGGAAGGATAGATTAAGACACATGAACGCCTTGCTTGTAATTGCTATGTTTAGAGCAAAGCAAGAACACATAGCGAAGTCAAAAGTGTTTAGCAGAATCAGGTTGTAGGGAGTCGAAGGAAGAAGCAGGAACCCTTGCGAAAAGCAGATTCAAATTTGAAGACCAAGTAGAAAAGCCCCAGCAGAAAGATTAGGTCATGAGATTGAATTCTCGAGCACTTATTACCCAACTGCACCTCAATTTGAAAGGTAGCAGGAATTTTCGAAGTAGTGTAGCAGCGGAGAATCACTCAAGCAGTAGGGGGAGTTCGAAATTCACCCATATGGAATTTCTGCCTGTAGGTTGGCTGAAATTCACCTATGCAGATTCAGAAACCTCGTCACCAAGCAGATTCGACTTCAAGGCTTTGAGCAGGCTGCAGGAAGTTCCTCGTCATCCCATGCAGCTCCTCGTACTTACTCCAAGGTAGGATAGGTCGAAGTGAAGAGAAATAGCTACCTAATCATGAGTGTAGAAGTCGGGGTAAGTGATAGCTAGCTTATGACGGCAGAAGAAGCTGAGAGGATCGATAGGCTCGAATACCAATGAAACAGGGCTACGGCGCGACTGAGGAGGGAGAGCGCCGTAGCTAAGAAGAGAGATAGGGAGTCTTGTAGCGGAAGAGAAGAAAGCTAGGAAAGCCTAGCGAGTAGACGAGATAATAATTATTAGATTAGAAGGAGATCCAAGGATGAGATACAAGAATCAGGAAGAGATATTTATCCTAGGAGAAGAGAGGCGCGACTCGGATAGGAAGACCGTGTCGCTACTCAATCTAGCATAGCATCTCGACATCACGCCTCGATGCTATGCACTGCTGTACTAATCATTCTGACAGGGATAAGGGGAAAGGTCCGAGGCTAGCAACTGGCGATGTAGCAAGAGAATACTACCTTCCCCTTTCGGAGATTCCCATGTATGCTCGCATGGCGAATCCTATATTGTTACAGAAAGAGTGCGGGAGTAGGATGTGTTGAACTCGCATTTTGCCTCTGGGACTTCTGAGGCCGCAAGGCTCGCAGAGATTGTTTCTTTCAGGATATTCCCTCATGCCCTGCATGCACGGTCGAGACTGGAGGTTCAGGAAAAGGGGACGACAGGGGGACCAGGCGTGACGATTGGCGAAGGGATATTGCTTTTAATTCGCTGCACGGTCAAATGGGAAAACGGCTTGATGTACACGTTCCTAGCAAAGGAGCCCGCTTGACTGCCTGACCAACGTATAGCAGAATGGGTGACTGGTAGATGGGCCGTGAAATGCGTCAGTGTGATTGAAACGGGAGGGACCTTTTGGTGTGCTTACAACGATGTCGACGCCCAACGACTCCCATTCGCCCCACGTTTGCGAACTGACGACGACGAAGTTTCCATGCACTTCATCGCCAACGTAATGCATGTAGTAGGGTAAGGCACTCAAACTGATCTAGCGTGAATCGAACCGCGGAAGCTCCGCGGAATGCGGTGAAGAGAGCCAATAGGAAGAGGAGAAAACAAGGCGAAGCGCCTAGTCGACACCGACCCATCATTCTTAGCCAGAAAGATGGCAAATCATTAGATAGTCTAAGATTTGGGCCCAGAGCTGTCGAAAATCGCCGCCTACCAAAAAACGGCTATCCCGGTCCGTGGACATGAATTTGTGGTCACGGATTGACAGCTATGGCAAATGGGTTGCTCCTGGTGGTTGGTGTGGTGTGACGGGAACACGCGATATAAGGTGAAATCTTGTTGCTTCTTGAGAATCTCGTGGCAATATACAGTTGTAATAAGATGATATACTATAGCACGATGATATACTATTCGCATGAAGTTGTTGAGATGTGCAGTTTTCCTTCTAGGTTCATAAAAAAGCCCAAGAAAAAAACGCTTGACATAGAGTCTCAATGAAATGCTTTAAGTGTTCAATCTTAATTTCTGGTCAAAATGTCTTCATTCAAAATATTGTCCCGCAATAACTTATTTCAATGCCTCTAACCACCACAGACTTACTGTAAAACGAAATGTGTTCTTACACTGTGACAAAAGATATTTCATATGATACGACGGTACTAGAATAATCGAGTGTCGGGGATGCCCCACAGCGATCTGTCCCCTCCCCACAAACTTCCGAGGAAAAGAGTGGGAAAGTTTGACGGTGATAGCCCCCAAGCCAGCTTCTCTAGGATGATCGCGTCCTCGCGCCCTAATCCGCGTCGGGAAAGCACATTCCGTCTGGCCAAGCTTGAACAGCCGTATTTGATTGCAACACTGATCGCGATTAGAAGACTGGAGCATATTGCATTACCTTCTGATCGTTGTCGTCAAATAAATAGACGTTCGCAGAATACTATCAGGCGGTCGTCGTCAAGCCGAAAGTTACCACGATGGACGAAGAACCTCTTCTCGTTAGGCTTCGCAGGTTCGCCGAATCTTCTCAGACCCTGCTCCGCGAAACCTCCGCCGTTTCCTCGTCAAAGAATACAAAATCTGCTGCGGAAGCGCCTAGGGATTGCCGCGAGGACGCTATTAGCGCGGATGCTGCTGCTAATACTTTAAACAACGGCTTTATTAATAGCCCACACGCTTTTAGAATTACATAAATCTCCCCCATTTTGTTATTTGTACCGTTTCTACGAGGCGCTTCGTTATAACAACGACAGAAAAAAATGCATAGACTAAATACAATTTCCTAATATAGGTCGATGACCTGTTCGAACCTATGACAATTCTACTTTCTGTGTAAATCACATTATTGACACTGTATACATCACTACATGTGGTAACAAAACATACAAACCAGCGACTGCAGCTCACACTATGGCGCAAGTGGATTACGTTAATTACTGCCGCGCGCAATCTGGCGTAAACAGCCGTTTGCCACAGCTCCCCTGGGCCTCGAACCACCGCGTCGCCTGTCACAGTTCGTCCGCCAAGTAATCTGGCGTTTTCAGTCATTCATCGCGTGAAACAACATCCCCGTCATCAGCCCTTACTGAGATCCCGCAAAACCACAGATTTCGCCCGCTTCGTGCCATTCGCGCCAGTTTACAACCAACGCCTCAATCCTCCCCGTAAACGGCCAACTACAAGGTCGATCTTCAACCCTAAAATCCGCTAAGTCCCCCTCGCCCAGTTTTGGGCGGAATGCAATTTTTCTGACGTCAGGCGGCCGTCGTCAAGCCGAAAGTTACCACGATGGACGAAGAACCTCTTCTCGTTAGGCTTCGCAGGTTCGCCGAATCTTCTCAGACCCTGCTCCGCGAAACCTCCGCCGTTTCCTCGTCAAAGAATACAGAATCTGCTGCGGAAGCGCCTAGGGATTGCCGCGAGGACGCTATTAGCGCGGATGCTGCTGCTAATTGCGAGCAGCGTGCGGGCGAGGCAGAGAAGGCTGCTCTTGCGCGTCTGGTGGGCGCGGTGGAAGCGGTGGTGGCGGAGGCGGAAGGCGCGGGGCGGATGTTGACGGAGAGGGGGGAAGCGGGGAGGGGGTATGCGGGGAAGGGGGATGCGGGGAGCGGGGACGGGGGAAGGGTGGTGACAGAGCGGGAGGAGCCGGGCAGACGCAGGGGTGCCAGGGGAGGGGGAAAAGCCGGACGGGGAAGCTTGAGGCGCGGGGAAGGTTCGAGCGTGCACATGATGGGTGCAGGAGGCGCAGGAGGGTCCGCGGGGGACAGGGGGAAGAACGAGGCGGGGAACAACGAGGCGGAAAAAAAAGAGACTTTCGGCATTCCTGATGACGTCATCGCTCTCTCACTAGAGGTGCGCAAGGGGCGGGTGTTTAGGGCAAGAGGGAGAGCGCGTGAATTGAGGGGGTTGAAGGCAGGCTTGGGAAGGGTGCATCTGATTAGATTTGAAGTCTGGTAGTTCTCAACAGGAGGTGGACCCGGGGAAGGCCGGGTGTGACTGATCAATCTCCAGGATTATGTGCCAGTCCAAGTAACGACATCATGCAGCGGAGGTGCTTCATGCAGGGTAGGTGGGTTCGTTCTTGCCTCAGTGCCTTCAATTCTCCTCTCTGCCCCCCATTGGCCTCAGGCCATCAGCTGGAGCATCTCGGCCGTCTATGCGCTGCTGGTGCCGCATCAGAGCCGTCGGTGGGCGGCAAGCCTGCATCACCTGCCGACTAGCGTCGATGCGGTCATGCGAATCAGCAGGTAGGGTCATCACCTGTGTGGAACCGTACCATTGTACCATTGCATACCATGCCATGCCCTTCCGTGCCATGCCATTACATCTCTCTTCCCCTCCCCTCTGCCCACGCCACTGAAACCATTCGCCCATTCCCCTCGCTCACCTTCATCGCTCCTCTCCATCCTTCATCCATCCCTGCGCCCCCCCAGAGCCATGCGTCCTCTCCTCGCCGTGCTGCTGCACCTCGTGAACCTCGCGCCTCCCTCACTCGCCGCCACCTTTTGCCAAGCCCAGGTTTGTGCGTGTCCTAACAGCTAGCTCAGCGAAGCAGTACGCCTTGCCTGGTTTTCTTGCTGCAGGTGCAGATTTGTACTCGTTATGGAGCACACAGGTTCATGTCAGAGGTGCTTTTTCAACGAGGGCGGTCAGGTCAAGTCAGGCGGCTAATCGGCATCAACTTGGCTCTGAATTTTCCTTTTCGCATTCCGACCATTCTCCTTCCCCACTTGATCATCGTCATCCCATCCCACCCACCTTTGTGTTCCCCAGGCGTCGTCCCTACTGCCCATCCTCACGTCCCTGCTCTCCGCAGGCCTTCATCAACACTTCTTCCTCCACCTCCACCAACAAGCACGACTTCTCCACCCGTATTCATCCTCCTTGCCTTCCTCAGCTCCCCCTTCTCGCCCCTCCTCAGCCGTCTCTTCCCCCGCTGCCTCCCCCTACAAGCCCCCCCACCTGCGCTCGCACAACGCTCGAGGCCCTCCGCCTGCCCTCTCCCCCTCCTTGTCCTCCCTGCCCCCCATTCTGCCGCCAGCAGCAGCAACACCATCAGCTGTGGCGCCAGCAGCAGCAGCAGCAGCAGCAGCAGCAGCAGATGGAGGGGTGGGTGCACTTGCATCGCCATCAGCACTTGCAGCAGGGTTGAAACTCGCAGCAGGTGCAGCTTCTGCTCATGGCCCCCGTTCCTCACACCTGCATGGATACTTTCCGGGCAGCCGGGCGACTGAGCAAAGCAGCTGGGGTTATTTCCCCTCGGAAATCAACAATGCAAGTGGGTCTGGGTCAGAGCAGAGTGAGGAGGAGGACGGGTGGGGTGGAGAGAGGGGAGGGGAAGGGGGAAGAGGCAGATGGGGGAGGGGAGGTGATGGGAGGAGGGGAGGCGGTGGTGTTGAAGCGAGGAAGCTGAGAATAGCTGCACTCACGTGCATCAAGGTGGGTTGCTGCTTGCTTGCTGCGCTCCTGGCTCTGGCTTTCTGAGAGCGGGATCCATCCATTTCGTACAACACAGGGTGCTGAGATCGTTTGCCAATTGTTTCCGAAGGCACAGATGTCGTTATATCTGGTCCCGTGCCGTGCCTCCCAACGTCGATTGCTAAACCAACGTCGTTGGATAAAGATGGGCGTGTGGCTCATGTTGGAGGTTTCCAGCGTGCACGCTCTGCTTGCGTTGTTCATGTTGACCTTCACAGCTCTGCATGTCCTCTTCTTTTTCAACCTTTGGCGTCATTCCTTGCCTATCGGAAAAAAATTTCCTTGCCTATCAAATAGATTGTTGCTTCTATCCTTCTCTGCCCTTCCCTTCCATTCCCTCTCCTCCCCCCTCCTTCCCATGTCCTCCCTCCACATTCCCCTCCTTCCTCTCTCCTTCTCCTCTCCTCCCCTTGCACTGCATTCATCTCGCCCCTCTCCTCCGCATCCATCTCCCCTCCCTCAGCTGCTATCCTTTCCTCTCTCCCTTGCTACCCTCTTCCCTCCCATCTCACCCGATCACCTTATTCCCGTGCTCCCAGAGCATGGCGGGCGTGTGTCTCAGAGGTCGCTGCATGAGTACTGGGGTTGGGGCTCTTCGCTCACTTCTCTCCTGCCCTTTCCTCTCCTTTCCTCTCCTTTCCTCTCCTTTCCTCTCCTTTCCTCTCCTTTCCTCTCCTTTCCTCTCCTTTCCTCTCCTTTCCTCTCCTTTCCTCTCCTCTTTCCTCTCCTTTCCTCTCCTTTCCTCTCCTTTCCTCTCCTTTCATCTCCTTTCATCTCCTTTCCTCTCCTCTCCTTTCATCTCCTTCCTTTCCTCTCCTTTCCTCTCCTTTCCTCCTTTCATCTCCTTTCATCTCCTTTCTCTCCTTTCCTCCTTTCCTCTCCTTTCATCTCCTTTCCTCTCCTTTCCTCTCCTTTCCTCTCCTTTCCTCTCCTTTCCTCTCCTTTCCTCTCCTTTCATCTCCTTTCCTCTCCTTTCATCTCCTTTCCTCTCCTTTCATCTCCTTTCCTCTCCTTTCATCTCCTTTCCTCTCCTTTCATCTCCTTTCCCATCTCTTCCGGTGAACCATGTTTCCCCAGAGCATGGCGGGCGTGTGTCCCAGGGCATTGCACGCGCACTGGGCCGTGCTTTTCCCTCATGCTTCCGTGGCCGCCGCCAGGTGTGGTCTGCAAACTGTCCTTCATTCCGTGTTTCAGCCCCAGTCTTTCACAAGTCACTTCCTGACTCCCTTGCAGCGAGCTTGTTCATAACCAGACACTACATGTCTTGTTCTGGAAATCACAAAAAGTCTTCCCACATGCCCCACATGCCCCACATGCCCCACATGCCCCACATGCCCCACATGCTCTGCTGGTTCTTGTTCTGCCTTCCCTCCCCCACATGCCTTCCACCACTGCCCCCCTGGCAGGGCCTCGTCCGCATCCCTGCTAGCCGCTCTGCTCTCCGACCCGTCCCCCAAGGTGACGTGATGTGAGGAAGGTGCACAGCACAGTGAGAGGTGAAAGCAGGTATGCAGCTACTGTCCTGTACCGTATGTAGCAACCAAACATAGTGTGTACCGCACCTTACCAACCTCGTCCGCATCCCTGCTAGCCGCTCTGCTCTCCGATCCGTCCCCCAAGGTGATGTGAGGCAGGTGCGCTGCATGGGGGAGAGCGAAGCATGGCAGGTGCACGGCATGGGGGAGAGAGAGTTGATGGCTCTAAACTTGTTTCCCTGTTTTCTGCCTTGATCCGCTTTGATTCGCTCCTCCGCATCCTCCGCTCCTATCTCATCCTTCTCCGTCCGCGCCACTTCTATCCTCTCCCTTCCTTCCTTCCCCGCTTCCTCTCCCTGTTACATCGCTGGTCTGCACATGTGCAGGTGCGAGTGGCAGCAGCACAGACCCTCACTGCCCTGCTCGACTCGCCTCTCACTCTCACCTTCCTGCATCGCACTGCTGCTTCTGCCCCCACCCCTGCTGCTGCCTCTGCTGGTGGCGCTCGCACCCCCGGCAAGAGGGCACCAGTGCGAGGGTCAGGAGGGGTGGAGAGTGGTGCTTGGGATGCTGCAGGGGGGGAAGGTGCTGCTGGTCCTGCTGGGGGCGAGTGATGATTGCGTTGGTGGTGGTGCTGGTGCTTCAAGCAGCATCAGTAGCAGCAGCAGCAGCAGCAGCAGCAGCAGCAGCAGCAGCAGCAGCAGCAGCAGCAGCAGCAGCAGCAGCAGCAGCAGCAGCAGCAGCAGCAGCAGCAGCAGCAGCAGCAGCAGCAGCAGCAGCAGCAGCAGCAGCAGCAGCAGCAGCAGCAGCAGCAGCAGTCGAGCTTCCTTCATTTCTCTTTCAGCGATCCTGGCTGATAGTCTTGTGGATATGCACAACGGTGGGTGTATGGGCAGACGTGTATGGGCAAGGGGACACATGTGTATGGGGCACATGTGTATGGGGCACATGTGTATGGGGCACATGTGTATGAGCCACATTTGTATGGGGCACATGTGTTTTCTCACGTGTATTTCTCATCAATTTCCGGTCCTTCGCCCCTCATCTACCGATGGTGTTGACTGTGATCCATCTACCGATGGTGTTGACTGTGATCCATCTACCGATGGTGTTGACTGTGATCCATCTACCGATGGTGTTGACTGTGATCCATCTACCGATGGTGTTGACTGTGATCCATCCTCACGTGTCCTTCCATGTGCTTGTGCCACCCTACCCCCTGCTTGCACCCATGGCAGCAGTACGACTACAGCAGGAGCACAGTCCACGTGTGTCCACCACTCATGTGCGTGTGCAACCCCCTTGCCCCCCTGAGTGCAGCTGTGGCGGCAGTGCTACAGCAGGAGCAGGACCCGTGGACGCTGTCCCTCGCCTGCAAGCTGGCGTCCCTGCTGGCGCAATGCACACCGTAAGATGCGTCTCTGTGGCCCTGCTGGTTATTGTGTGGGTTTAGCGATTTCAATAAACTCCTCCTTATGTATATGTATAAATATTTTGTTTCGTTGCCTGTGCCTCTATGATATAGCCGGCCTGTGAAAGAGGGCGTGTTCCCATCTCTTTGCGTGCTCTCAAATCATTGCCATTGCACGAAGAGAAGAGTTCGGCATGTCTGGTGTGAGGTGGCATCACCTGTCGACTCAAAATTTATCTGGATAAAGAGATCCTTAGCAGAGAATCGTTGAAAACACGAAAGCACAGTACAGGGGAGTTGCTGTATTCGTTTCTAAACCCGTTTCAATCCATCACATCTGATATTCGTCCCCCTTTGCCCTCGTGCCCCACCACTGAAGGTACCATCGCCTCCGCTCCTCCCCTCGTTTGAGTCACATTCTGCCCTCCGCTTTAGTCACGCGGATCTCCACTCTCCTCTCGCCAGGCCCCCTCTCCTCCTCCTCCTGGTCCACCAGCATGTCTTATAGCGAGGATGGCATCTCCATTGCCTCTGTAAGCACACATGATAAGACCTCTCATCCATTTTCTCCTGGCCTGGTTCATAGCTAGCTACTCTGCGTTTCATTCATGTGCACCCTCCCTTCCTCCACCCTCCTCCCGACCTCGTGTCACATGCCACGTGTCTTGGATTGTTTTTTGAGGCACTTCAGCCATGCCACGTGTGTCTTGGATCGTTCGAATGTGTGTGTGTCTCTGTGCGTGTGCGTATGTTGGTGTGTGCTTGCCTGCGTGCGAGCGTGCTTGTGTGCGTATCTGTGCATGTGCGCATATGTGCGCTTGGGTGTGCGTGTGTGAGCAGGCAGCCACAGCAGCAGCAGCAACAGCATCTCTGGGCCATGTCCTGTCGCGCTCCACACTCCCTCCCCCACAACCACCCGCCACAGCCACCACCACCACCCCATCAACCATCACATTCACGTGCCTGCAATCGTGGGTGCAGCCTTGCATTCCCACTGCTGTGCGCGTTGAAGCCCTTCAGGTGTGTTCCTGGTTGATACACCCACGGCATCCCACTAGGTGCTTGCAATATTCTCCCCTGATGTAAGCTTTCCTCTTGTGAGGCTCCAGTGCCCTCATTTCCTCCTTCCCTGCTCACCTCCCACATGTCTCTCCCATTTTTTCCGCATCTCTCCCATTCTCACCCATTCTTTCTGCATTTCTCTCCCATCCTTTCCACACTTTTCTCCCCGCTATTTGTGCATTTCTCTCCCATTCTTTCCGCATTTCTCTCCCATCCTTTATGCAATTCTCTCCCATTCATTCGCATTTCTCTCCCATTATTTCCGCATTTCTCTCCCATTTTTTCCGCATTTCTCTCCCATTCTCTCTACCAAGCCCTAACAACATGACTGCCCACATCTCCTGCAACTCCTTCCGAGCCTCAGTCATGAATTGTCTCACCCGCCATGCATGCACCCCTCTCCCTCCCTTTTTATCACTCCTTCCTCCCTACCCCTCTCCAGGCGCTAGCAGCATGGATGTCCACATTCCCTGCATCTGCAGCCGAGCCCCTCTGGCCGGACCTCTTTGCCCTCGTCACCTCCACATTGGCTGCTACCACGACGCCTGCCAAGCCCGACCACACTGCCAGCAGTCCAGCAACACACACTGCCAGCAGTCCAGCAACACACACTGCCGCGCAAGATGAGGTCCATACCACGCACCATGACAGCAGCAGCACGCTGCAGGTCGAATCTGCTCTCACAGAGCGTCTCCAGCCCGCAGCACTCAAGGTGCGTTTCTCACACACAGTTTCTGTCTCCTCGGCGTAGTCTTATCTTCAATTCTCCAGACCTCTTTGCCCTTGTCACTCGCACCCACTTTGGCTCCTCCCACCACTCTTGCCAAGCCCGAAGTTGCCAGCACCCCAGCAACACACACTGCTATGCAAGATCAGCCTGCTACTGCGCACTTTGACAGCTGCTCACTGCAGGGCGAATCCGCTTTCACTGACCACCTCCACCCTACAGCACTCAAGGTACGATTTTCACACTCTTTCTTGGCTCCTCACACTCTGTTTGGCTCTTCACACTCTTTCTTGGCTCCTCAGAGTCGCTCTGCTCCTCACTTTCTTTCCATCTGCCCCTGTCCACCCTTCGTCCCCTTCTGCCCCTCCGCTCTCCACTTCTCTTCCCCTCCTGGCCCCCCCTCTTCCCTATTGCATATCATCGTTCTCCCTGCCTGCTGTGTGCCCTGCCCTTCCCCACCACCCTTGCGCCACCACAGCTGCTGGACCAACTACTCACCACACTCACAGGTACTCGAGGAGCTGCGATAGGAGCAGCAGCGGTAGGCAGTGCAGGGCAGGCAGGGAAGCAGCAGCACGAGGTGGAGCTGGGAGGAGGGGGAGGTGGAGGAGAGGGGGAGGAGGAGGGCGAGGGCATGAGGCGGCAGCTGAAGGTCACTTGGAACACGCGCAACAGACTGCTGCCTGCTTGCGGTTGTGTGTGTGCTTGCTGCCAACGCTATTGTGCATGCCCAAACCACAAGCACCAGCAGCACCAGCAGCACCAGCAGCAACAAGAGGGGTGGTTAGCCCCTGTCTTCCCAACCACGGCACCTGCCTGTGCTACTACTGTGTGTGCCGCTGCCACAGCTGCCACAGCTGCTACAGCCTGTGCCCCTCCCTTGACAGGTTCTGCTACAGCCTGCTGCTCTGAAACATCAGCCTGTGCCTCTGCAGCTTTACCTGCTGCTGTACATACTGCTTCCTCTGTGATTGGCAACGACGTCTCTTCATCCAATCAGCTGCTGCCACCTGTCCCTCCTCCTGGGGCCTCGCAGTGGGCTGAAATGCTCCGCCTGGGCCTGCTGCCACCCCTCCTCCGACACCCCTCTCCCCCGGTACAGTGCGGTAATAATGGGTAGTATGGTTATAAAGAGTGGTGGGGTATGGTAGTGTTATCAGCAGGTGGGTACCGCATAGGCCTGCCGCCACGCCACTCCTCAGACAAACAGCCCCCTCGTGCAGTATTATGATAGGGTGATCAGGGGTGATATGGTACATAGATTGTGGTGGTGGAGAGTGGCAGGGTATGGCACTCACGCTGCTGCCCACGTTATAAGGACCGACCAGTGAAGTACCGCCCTTCCTCCAACACCGTCATTACCCAGTATGAGAAGGTTATATGGAGAGGAATAATACGGGAAGAGTATGACTTAGCATCAATTTAGATCGTTGATCCAGCCAAAGTGCCTTTCCATTCCACCCGTCCTCTCGCCTCGTCTCCCCCAATAGACCCGCACTGCGCCGCTCACATGCTTCCTGCACAGGCCAACACACGTGCCCGTCACCGTTCCCCTCCTCCTCTATCCCTCCCCAACCCCACCACCCCCCCTCTCCCCCACCAGGTGCGCCTGGCAGCACTCACATGCTTCCTGCACATGCCAGCACCCGTGCTGCAGTACCTCTCCCACATGCATGACGTCATCTTCCAGCCAATGGTATGCTTCCACATGTCCACCTGTCTTGGCCACCGCTCCTCCGTGCTGGGCCTTCTGCTAACAGCTCACTGCCTGCTCGTTTTGCCACGCTTCAGCTTTGCAGGGAATCAGCTTTGGGTCTTAGTATCTCTGGTTGCTAACCAGAGATAGTATCATAGTAAGAGATACTGTAACCGACTGCAGAGTACCCCTTTGGTTCTGTTCAGTTTTTTTCTCTAGCAGGGGGGAGTTTTTTGTTCACCTCGTCTTCATCTCTCTCTCAGTCCCCTCTCCGACCTCCCTGCTTTGCATTGCATGTGCCAGTTCGCCCTGGCAGCAGGGGAGTCAGTGCCAGCAGTGCAAGCAGCGCTGATGAAGGTCTTTGGAACCATTCTGCTGCACCTCATGCCCGCGCGGTGAGTGGGGTTCTGCCCGCACTGTGAGTGCCAGATTTTCATTATGTACATAGTGGTCAGCAGCGGAGGGCCGGTGATTTGTTGTAGGCAATTAGAGCTTTGGGCACCTAGGTTTAACTGGCAATGCAAGCGACCAGAGTGTGTGTGGTGTGCTGGCCACCTTGGTCTTACTTTGCTGTGCTGCCTGCTCCCTCCTGGTAACTTTTGACTCGACTCAAATGTCACCTCCCACTTGTTCTGCCATATTGCCCGTGCCCTGGTGTTGGTGGTTTGCTCCACCCATCGGCACTCCTCCGCAGCAAACCTGCACTCCTTAATCCTACGCCGACCTGTCATCCCGCCAGTCTTTCACCTTCAATCTGCCTCCAGCATCTCACCAGCTTTCCTCTCTTCCCCCCCATCCGCCATGGGTGTGTGTGAATGTAAGAGCCTCAGCAGCCCGATGACTCCCAGTGACCACCGGCAAGCGTCACTGCAAGAGCCTCCATCGCCGTCATCTTGCTCAACCTCCTCAATGTCTGCATTGAGCCTCGTCTCCCATGGCCGCATGCTGCTGCTTCAAGCCTGCTCCTCTTCTTCCGTCCTTGTGAGTGCCGTCGCTGCACTCTACGAACCGGAAAACTGCGGCAGCAGCACTGCGGCATGGCACCCCCATGCCACCCGTCCAACCTCTCTTTCAATGCATCACGCCACTGTGTTCACTCCTCTTTATTTAACTTCTCCTCCTTCCGTCGACTTTGTCTTTCTTCTTCTTTTGATAACCGTTTTAGCTTCGCTTCATGCACTCTTTACATTTTTTGACCCCTTCATCCTCCAAGTATATGCGCACTGGGAAAATATGTCATCTCTTCATCGTCCATCCCCTTTCTCCACCCACACATAGGTCCGTTCTACTGCAATGTGGTCTCTTGCTAACATATCGGAGCGTCTGCCGCCAATGCACTGTTGCAGCACACACTCTCACAGCAATCAGTGCAGCAGGGAGGGTTCTGGCACCGCACTGGGCACGCACGTTGGTGGGGATACGAGTGCAGTGTGGTGGGGCGCATATGACGTTGAAGCTCTCGCCAGCGCTGCCGTGAAAGGAGCAGGCGACAATGATAAGGTATTGTATGATCAGCAAACGACAATGATAAGGTATTGTATGATCAGCATTTGACAATGATAGATAATTTATAATAAGCAGTGGAGAAGGACAAGGTACTTAATGATAAGCAGGCGACAAGAATACGGTAATTCTGATAAGCAGTTGGCAATGTGCTTACTGATAAGCAGCCGACAGCGATAAGGCACTTGTTGTTAAGTTTTTATAGGTTCCGTTCAAGCGAGTGAATCCTGTCCATTCTTTGCTCCCCCATCTCTCCGCCATATCTCCTCCGCTGCCTCTCAGGTCAAAGCCAGTGCCGTTCGGCTGCTGGGTGCTCTCGCCCGCTGCTGCTGTTTCTGCCACCGCTGCTGCGCAGGCACCAATGCAGCAAGCCCTGCCATACCCTGCTCTTGCGATCGCCACACTGCCACTGCCACTGCCTCTGCCACGTGCTGCTCGCACTGCCCTGCTGGCAGTGCCGGCAATGCTGAGACAGGAGGAGGGCAGGTGAGGTACCTGCAGAATAGCCACCACCGGTGCTGCTGTGAGAGTCAACAGGCAGTGGGGACTGAAGCAGCAGAGGTGTGTGAGGTTGCCAGGGGAAGGACAGCAGCCGCTGCAGAAGCAGCACTGGCTGCCAGCAATGGCAGGTCATGGAGTGGCGAGTGTAACGAGGGACAGCAGCCGCTGCAGAAGCAGCACAGCCCCGGTGGTAGCTGCAGCAGCAGTGCAGACAATGTTGGCTTGACTCAGATCGTGAGACTTGCGTCGGAAGCAGCAGGGTCAGCACCAGCAGATGGGGGTGCAGAAGCAGGAAACAGTGACATGCATAGGAGGAGGGCAGCTGAGAAGCAGGGGGCACGGGAGGAGGTGAAGGAGGAGAGGGAGAGCGGTGGTGGAGTGGCGGGGGTGTGGCAGGAGCGAGTGGTGGAAGGCATTCTCTCATGCGCCTTGCAGAGCAACCCCAAGGTGAGTGCAGAGCAACCCCAAGGTGAGTGCAGAGCAACCCCAAGGTGAGTGCAGAGCAACCCCAAGGTGAGTGCGTGGGATGTGACTGTGACAGCGTATGGGGAGTGGGGAGTGGGAGTGGGGAGTGGAAATTTGGGTGTGGGAAACGGGAAAAGTGAGGAGGTGAACTGTGTGTGTTTGATCGTAATCGTTTTCTCACCACATCGTTCTCCTGTTCATGTTCCCTCTGCCCGTCCATCTCTGTTTCTCCCTTACCTTTTCCTGTCATTCTGCCATGCCCTGTCCCTCTCCTCCCCTCTTCCTTGCTGCTCTCAACATGCACAGTTGCAGTGAAACGTTGTGTGCTGCCTTCTCTTTATAACTCTCGTCCCCCGTTCCCCTTTTCTCACTTTTCCTCTGCAACCATCTATTTTCATTTCCACTTCCCTTCCCCACTTTTCCTCCCCCCCGCCTCTGCGCTCACCACACACAGGTGCAGTGGAGTGTGTGTGCAGCGCTCTCCCTCTTCCTCCAGAACCCCTCCGTGCACCTCCCATCTTCTCCCTGGTACGTCACCCGCACCTGGATACTTTCCCTGTATAACCTTTGCTTACCCTCCCTTTATCTCGATAGTAGGGTCGCACTCGTCTCCTCTTCACTCACCCCGACTGCCATACAACCCATACATCTCAAAAAGCCTCAGGAGACTAAGTAGGTAGGCGGATAAGATCTGGACAAGGTCTAGATAAGTTTCTGCAATGAGGCTGGTTGAAATAACCCACTGAAGCAACTAACCTTCGAAAGTAAGCAGGCGTGGATTCAAACTTGGCGTGCTTTCACAATTCATCTCAAGGCCAAGTACCAGGGGAGGTATCCAGGTGCGGGTGACATACGAGGGTCCAGGGAGGCAAGGAGATGCGAAACATGGCCTGTACATGAGAGCTCAACGTGCTCTTCTCAACATGGCCAATAAATTGGAACACCATGGTAAACGAACGACTGGACGAACTGTAGCCTACTCCACTTTTGCCGTCCACACTACCCCTACTGCCCCTCCTCCCTGCTCCTCCAAGTTTAAGCTCTTCCTCTGTTGCTCTCATTCACCCCTGCTGCCGCCCTACCAATCCATGGCCTTTACTCCCTACCCTTTCCCCCTTCCCCCTCAGCTATTCGCCCTCAACCCTTCCCCCTCCCCCCCTCTCCTTTTTCCTTCGTCTTTTGCCCTTCCCCCTTCCCCCCTCCCCTTTCCCCCTTTTCCCGTGCAACTTCCCCCCATCAGCAATGCGCCTGTGCTGTAGCCTCTCCAACGCCAACTTCCCCTCTCTTGCTGCGCTCCTCCCCTCTCTTGCTGCGCTCCTCCGACTTCACACCTTTTCCCCTCCACCCTTCCCCGCTTTCCCTTCCCTCTCCATACTTCCCCTACCCCCGTCCCATTCCCCCTTTCCCTTTCCCTGTTCACCTTCCCCTTCCCCCCCCATCAGGACCGCCCCCGCTCTTTCCACACTGCAGGCTCTCTTGCTGCGCTTCGCCGACTTTCTTGATCCGCATACATGCTGCTGCTGCCCCCCTAGTCCATCCCCTTTACACCTACCCCCCTTCTCCTCCTCCTTTCCCTTCCCCCATCTCCCCATCAGGACTGCCCCCATGCTCGCAACACTGCAGGCGCTCTTGCAGCGCTCCGCCAACTTCAAGATCCGCATCCATGCCGCTGCCGCCCTCATCCAGCCGTGCGCCAGGGCAGGTGAGAGGTGAATGGTAGGGCAGGTGAGAGGTGAACGCTTGGGCAGGTGAGAGGGGGGGCAGACTGAGGTATTGTCACCAGAACCAGGCACTCGCTCTTGCAGCGCTCTGCCAACTTCAAGATCCGCATCCACGCCGCTGCTGCCCTCATCCAGCCGTGCGCCAGAGCGGGTGAGAACTAGAGTAGATAAGAGCTGGGGCAGGTGAGGGAGCTGGCACAGGTGGAAACTGGGGCAGGTGGAAACTGGGGCAGGTGGAAACTGGGGCAGGTGGAAACTGAGGCAGGTGGAAACTGAGGCAGGTGGAAACTGGGGCAGGTGGAAACTGGGGCAGGTGAAAACTGGGGCAGGTGGAAACTGAGGCAGGTGAAAACTTGAGCAGGAGAGAGCTCAGGCAGGTCAGGGCGGGGGCAGGTGTATCTGCTGCCTGAATGTATGCACCCATTCTCGACTGAACTCTTCCTTCTCATTCCCCCTTAGTGCCAAACTATGGCCCATGATCCGGTGCTATCCTGTAGCCTGATTGCGCCCATGCCTGTTTACCCTGGCCCATGTCAGACTGTGGCCCGGATTTCTGTGCTATCCTGCTACTTGAGCACACTCTCATCCTCCCCATTCTCTCCCTTCTTTCCCACCCGCCACTCACTTCCCCCCATGGTCAGACCATGGCCCGGCCAGAGTTCGGGGCTATCATGCAGCTTGATTGCACTCATCCCTGTTCACCTTTGCCCCACCCACCCACCCTTACACCCCACTCCATTGTCAGAGTATGGCCCGCTGTTCGGTGCTATCCTGCTGGCTGCTTGCACCCATCCTCCTCCCTTCCTCCCCACCTCCTCCATGCCTTCCCCCCACCCCCTCCCTTCTTCCCCACCCCCTCCCTTCCTCCCCCCCCCCCTTCCTTCCTCCCCACCCCCCCCTTCCTTTCCACCCCCCCTTTCCTCCCCACCCCCTCCCTTCCTTCCCACCCCCTCCCTTCCTCCCACCCCCTCCCTTCCTCTCCACCCCCTCCCTTCCTCCCCACCGCCTCCCTTCCTCTTCACCCCCTCCCTTCCTCCCCACCCCCCCTTCACACTCCCTCTAACGTCAGACTATGATCCAGAGTTCGGTGCAATCCTGCTGCCTGATTGCACGCATGCCCCTTTGATTTGTACCCTACCTACCCACCCTCTTCCCCTCCCACTCCCTCCAACGGCAGACTATGGCCCGGAATTTGGTGCCATCCTGCACGCCCTTGTCTCGTCGCTCGCCTCACTGGATGCAGCAGATGAACAGCAGAGTGCAGTGGAGCAGCGGTACAAGCCGGTGCTGAGGGATCAGGTGCGGTGGGGTGAATAGGGCAGTGAAGTTAAGCTGCAGGTACTGATTTTTTTTTTGAAAGTTATACAAGTGTGGCATGAAAAGTCCTAGTACCGAGGCTGCAGGTACCAGCACTGAAGGTTCCAGCTACCTTGCGACTGGCATGTCATTTGATGCGCCTGCATCTGTGTCATATCATGTGCTTGTCTGTGTCATATCATGTGCTTGTCTGTGTCATATCATGTGCTTGTCTGTGTCATATCATGTGCTTGTCTGCGTCATATCATGTGCTTGTCTGTGTCATATCATGTGCTTGTCTGTGTCATATCATGTGCTTGTCTGTGTCATATCATGTGCTTGTCTGCGTCATTTCATGTGCTTGTCTGTGTCATATCATGTGCTTGTCTGTGTCATATCATGTGCTTGTCTGCGTCATTTCATGTGCATGTATGGCATCAGGTCACAGCGACACTCCTCCACATGACCTCGCTTGCTTCACCTCAAGACCTGGGCATTATCCGGCCGTTGTTGCAGCAGGTATGGAGTGATGGGCTTGCACATGATGTGCTTGCACATGATGTGCTTGCAGATGATGTGCTTGCAGATGATGTGCTTGCAGATGATGTGCTGGCTCTGCATGAGATTCCGTGTCTTGTTCAGTCACTTCTCCATCACCAGCATATGTGGCTGTCTATCCAACCAGCTATCGTATGTCCGATAGAAGTGCATTTACGCACTGGTTATGTCAAGCTGGCACTTGAAACATCCCTGTGCCACTTGTATGCAAAAGTGCATTCATGCACTGGTTATGTCAAGCCGGCACTTACGCCTCCCTGTGCCACTTGTATGCTTGCACTGGCCGTTGCCCTACCCTAAACCCCAATTCCAGCATGCAGAGTGCATATCCCACGCTGTGGAATCCACACGCTCAACAGCACTTCGTTCCTCTGCTCATTCCGTCCCCTTTACAAGCATTTCCGATAAGCCACTGGGTTCAACAGTTCCGCTGGCTGTGCCTTTGGTCGATCAGCCTGGCAGTCTGTGCACTCATCTGCAGCATCCCTCTTGCGGGTCGGCCAGTGCTGCTGGCAGTGATCAATGTGATGCTGCTACTGCTGGCAGTGATGGTTGTGGTGGTACTGGCCGAAATTGCGGTACATTATTTGCGCACTGTATCTCAGCATCAAGAGTATGTGGCATGGGTGTATGCTCCCATGTGGAACTGACGGCTATTCAGATGAATTGGATTGATGAGCCGATATGGACATTGACGACCCTGTTACAAGACATGAGTGACGATGGTAAGGGAGTATAGCTGGAGTGAGTTATGGCACCAGTACGAAAGCGTAGGTTGCTGGTAGAAGCCGACTTGCTGGTTGGTAGGTTGCTAGTGCCTTGTTGCTATGGTATATCAACTTTGTCATGCCATTGCGTGATTGTCCAATCCCTTTTTGCTAGTGAAGCTCTTACCATTTTCACCTACGAGGTCAGCTAGGCGGGCCAACTTCTTTCTCCAAATCGACACCGACCACAAAGGCAACCCTACTGCATGCATTGCATACCAGACTACGAAGTTGACTTTGTTGTGGGTAATGAGTGAAACATTAATGTGCACTCAGCATGCAGTAACGAGAACGAATGCGAAGAGTCAGAATTGAATTGAAGCGCCAGACGGTTGGGGTGCATCTGGACCGTCGGAGCAGACAGCATCGGGCAGCTGCAGGAAGAAGAGTTTTGACGGGAACAGTTTCGTAACTGTACGCGCCGCACGGTTGGGAATGAATTTGAATAAAGGAATGTACCCCTTAGAGTACATGGCTAGTTAGGTCGATTTGAATTCCCCTGTACTCTTATTTATTCCCCTGTATCTTAGTTAGGCCAACAGCTACATCAATCGCTGTCGGAGCCTCCGCGATCAAATCGCGAAGTTGGGAAGCTCGATTTCGGAAGAAAATTTCGTGAACATCGTGCTTCAAGGGCTCGGCCCAGAGTGGCGGCCCTGCAAGGCGCTTCTCCGACAGCAGGGGGTCATCTTGGAGGCCGCCCTTTGCGCCACACTTCTCGTCGAACAACGGGATATGGATTAGTAGCGATCAGCGCCACGACGAGAACGAGAACGGCTCGCCTTCTACGCCGACAACAACGAAGAGCGACGGCCGCGGCGCCTCTACTGCAAAATTTGCAGAAGCTTTGGGCACTTGGCGGATCGATGCAAGTCTTGATCTCGCCCTCGCCAGACCAATCCGAGCAACTGGTCCGGCCGACAAGACGCACGAGGCGACGTGCGTCCAGCCCAGGGGTATCAACCCCCAACCGCGCGCAACCTGAACCCAGTGGTTCAGCATCAGCAGCAGCAGCCGTCATCGTCCGCCCCAGTACACAACGTCATGAGCAACATGGCCATGACGGGCGAGTCGCGTCGTCGCCGCGTGCGCTCACCATCACCTGAGCCAGCACCGCACCCCATTGGCGCGTTCTCCAACAACTTGGAATCAGATTCCTAGTGCGAGTGACGTGTCATCGCCAAGCCGCTGACGGATTTTCACCCTTTGTTAGAGATAAAGGATCGAGTCTATGAAGATTAGGGTCCGAAATAACTCAAAATCGTTGGTCCTAATTTCTGGACAGAAACCGCGACTTCACAAGAAACGTTGTCGACGAAACGTGCGCTGTTAGAATCGTCTCAAACTCGAGTATGTTATAGCCCTTGACCGTGGCTATCATTCCCAATTTGAATCGTATCAAAAGGTGGAGTAAATCTCGAGTTATGCTTTTCGGTGCACTAGGGGGTATGCTGCCACAGAAACTTTAACTCAATCACAAGAGTTTCACAAGTTCCAAGAGTTACACACAAGAGAGTTAGAGTAGGACTAAACCAGGTGGGAGGGAAGAGGAGGACGAGAGGGAAGGTCCCAAGGAGTCCCCAACCAAAGGAAACCCCATGCCACACAATTCCCCTCTCCATATGCAACCTCACTTTCACATTTGTCACTTTCCAACTCATGCCATCCACCTCAACCCACTTGGCCACACTTGCCAACCTGGTTTGGCTTCACCCAACCACATGGCAGCAATCTACAGTGATGGGTTCGAATTCCCAACCCCAAAAGTCTGTACCCCATAATGAGTCAACCCCACAACTTCCGATAATCGCCGCAACCAAAGTACAGAAAGCATACGAACTCCAATGTTCGTAACTTTCTTGATATTGCTCCGATCGCGACGATTCTTGGTTCGTCGGGAAGCTCTTGAGCAGAGCAATCACTTCAGATATCTGCTCAAGCCAAATGACATTCACACACACTCAGAAAATCCAAACCGCGCAAAACACAAATTCTTGCACACGCTCACACCACGCATGCAACACGCGAACACATGATGGGAGGCAGACAGACGTGAATGCGGATGATAGCATCACACAACAAACTCCCCCTCTGGCTGCCAACCATCATCCCACATGCCATAACACAAGCATGCACCCTCAATGCACACTCATCCCAGCAAGCTTCATGCCCTTCCAATGCTCAGATTCAGCCAGGCGCTTGGTGAGAATGTCAGCCGCCTGCTGCTGGGTCTTCACAAGCTCCAGTCGCACCTCCTTGTCCAGGAGCCTCCTTGTCCAATGCCACTTGGGCCTGATGTGCTTTGTCAGGCCATGAAGACAGGCATTCTTCGCAAGCTTCACAGTCGACTCATTGTCACAGAAAATCACAGTCGGCTCCTTCTGGCACACTCCGATCTCCTCCAGCAAACGCCTCAGCCACACCACCTCCTTTGCCCCATGATGCAGGGCCATGTACTCGGTCTCACACGAGGACAGCCCCACCTCGTTCTGCTTCTTGCTGCGCCAGCTCACTGCACCACCTCCAAAGAGGCACACATAGCCTCCAATGCTGGTGCCATCTGCCTTCACAGAGTTGAAGCTAGCGTCGGTGTAGCAGGTCAAGAGCATCTCCCCCTTGCTCAAGTCAGCAGCACCCCGCTGCTGCCTTTGCCTCACGGCACTGTACTCCAAGCCCACAGATGCCGTTGCACTCACATAGCGGACCAACCTCTTGGCCGCTTCCAGCTGCTCATGACTGGGGCGTGAAACCACACTCGCAAGCCTGGATGTAGCAAAGGCAATATCAGGCCGCGTGTGGTTAGCCGCATAGTTGAGTGCCCCCACCATGGAGTGAAACAGCTTCCTGTCACTCTCTCCCACCACCTCCTCATCAGCACAGGGCTCCACAGTGAACCCTGAAGGCAGTGGGGTGGCTGGCTTCCCTCCATCTTGCAGCCCATACTTCTCGGCCAGCCCCTCACAGTACTTCCTCTGGTGCAACCTCAACACTCCCTTGTCGAGGTCCCTCTCCACATGCATCCCCAGGTAGTACTTCACATCTCCCATCTTCGAGCACTTGAACTGCATCTCCAGCATCTCCTCCACACGCTCAATCATTGCAGACGACTCTGAGAAGAGCAGGATGTCGTCCACATACACCAGGAGCAGGAGAAACTGCTCCTTCTCCTGCAGCAGGAACAGGCTGTGGTCGCACTCACTCTTCTTGAATCCCCCAGCCAGCAAGGTCTCCTCCAGCTTATGGTACCATGCACGAGGAGCCTGCTTCAAGCCATAGATGGCCTTCTTCAGCCTGCACACCCTGCCGCTCCCATCATCCAACCTCTCAAGCTGCAGCATGTACAGCTCCTCCAAAATGATCCCATTGAGGAAGGCAGTGATGATGTCCATCTGCTTGATCTTCCATCCACGGTTTGCAGCCATTGCCAACATTGATCTCAGTGTTGTCCCTTTCCCCACAGGAGCAAAGATGTCGTCAAAATCCTTCCCCTTCGTCTGCTGGAACCCCTTAGCCACAAGCCTTGACTTGTAGCGGGTCAGCTCCCCATCAGGTCCGTACTTGTGCCTGAATATCAGTTTGGAAGAAATGGCCTTCTTCCCAGGAGGCAGCTCACACAACTCCCATGTATCGTTCTCCAGCAGGGAGTCATACTCCTCCTTCACACTCTGCTTCCACTTCTCAGCATCGGGCCCACTCAAGGCCTCGGTAAGCGTCTTGGGCTCAGGGACGGCTGCCCAGTAGCAGTGCGCTATCTCCTCCTCATCACACTGCTCAGCCACACTTCCGGCCCGCACCACCTTTGGCTTCCCAAAGCTCGGATAGGTAAGAAAGTTAGGAGGACGCACATCCCTCCTAGGACGGTCAGCCGCACGTTGCTGCTGCTGCTGCTGCTGCGGCTGCTGCTGCTGCTGCTACTGCTGCTGCTGCTGCTGCTGCTGCTGCTCCTCCACCTCAGGTTCTCCCCCATCCTCAGTCACCCCAGAGATCTCCTTCTCAGAGACAGAAACCTCCACCTGCCTCGAAGGCCGCTGCACCTCATCGGCCTCAATGATCAGTGGTGTAGTAGGAAGCTTTTGCTGCTGCTGCTTCCACTCCTTGTAGTACAGGGACTCGAGGAACTTCACATCCCTTGACACAGTCAGCTGCTGGCTGGTCAAGTCCCATATCAGCCAGCCCTTGTGATCCTTGGCAAGTCCCAAATGCACACCCCATCTCCCAGAAGCTTCCAACTTTCCCCTCTTCTCCTTCGGCACATGAAACACCACCATGCAGCCGTAGGCTCTTAGCATGTTGACTGCTGGTGCACTCCCATACCACTTGGTGTAGGGGATCCACTGCTTGTCCCCCACAGTCGCCAGCACCCTGTTCTTCACAACGACAACCTGCCGTAGTGCAGTCACCCAAAACGGATCCGGCAGCCCTGCACGCCCAAGGAGAGTGCGAGCACCTTCCTGCAGGGTCCGGTTGAACCGCTCAGCCACGCCATTCTGTTGCGGGTTGTAGGGCACTGTAAGCTGATGCTGAATCCCCTTCTTCTTCAGCACCGCCTCACAATCAACGCCAATGAACTCTCCCCCATTGTCGGTGCGGATCACCTTCACCTTGTGTCCGCTCTCCCTTTGAGCTCTTGGCATCCACTCCTTAAGAACAGCCGCTGCCACGTCCCCCTTGGTCTTGAGAGGGTACACCCACACCGCACGTGTGTGGTCGTCCACAATGGTTAAGAAGTAGCGGCTGCCCGAGAGCGAAGTGGCCCTCGTGGGGCCCACCACATCCATGTGCACAAGCGCAGGCGGTTCCTTGGCTGGTCCCGTGCTGCTGCTGAAAGGAAACTTCGTGAACTTGGTCTCAAGGCATGTAGGGCAGCTCCCAACCTCCTTTGCTGCCCCCTTCACCTCCAATCCCTTCAAGCTCCCATCCTTAGCCAACTTCTGCAGCATCGGTATGTTGATGTGGCACAACCTCTCGTGCC